GATTTTCCACCAGCTCTGAGCAGAAACCTCACCCCATGTGCACCAAGTTCTGGCCATGGCCGGAACAAATGAGCAGGTGCGTGGCACAAATGCAATGCTGCACAGCTGCACAACTTAGAGGGAACGTTGCATACCTGAGGATTTTAATAGGGTTTCCAAGAATTTCAAATACTGTATCATGTTGAGAGAGAAAAAGGTCCAGAAATAGCTGCAGGGTTGGAAAATAAGGCTAACCAATGGTTATTTCTCATCTTACACTGCTGTCTGAGAACAGTAGTTTTTTTTTTTCTGACAGTGTCTTCTAGACAAGAGAGACAGAAATAATCTTATTTAGCTTATGGAAACCCATACAGCTGAACCTTGAATCTAAGAACTGCTCAATGCTATCTGTTTTGGCCAGTGTCCTGTTGCTGAAGTATGAAGCAGAAAGGCATCGTGTAAGCCTTACTCCCTGCAGTAGCAGGCTTCCCATTTCATACCTTTCCTTTCTCCTGATGGATAGCAGGAAACTTGCCAGACCAGACAGAATACTTACACAATTGACCTTTCTTTCTGCAGTTCTACAGTAGGATACTAGCCTGCATGAATACATTGACTGAAATTTGCATAACAATACGAAGCTGTGGAAGCAGTAGAAGAAATCATGGCAGGGTGGAAGTAATACAGTATTCACAAACTCTTCCATAGGCATGTTGTACAACAATCCTGACATGAACTACACAATCTATTGCAGTGAGAACTGTGCATTCATTTGCACAATGCTGGCTTCCTGGACATATGACCCAGCATACATCTGCATGCGTTACTTTATGCTTGAACTCGATTTCAGTCAGTATATAATAATATAGAATAAGAATTGATTATCCTTATATCGTAATGACAGCTTAAAGCTATGACCCATTTTAAATTAAAATTATTATGTAGTGTTTCCTTAAACAATATATCAATAAAAATAATTAGATTTTAAAAATTCAATTTTAAAAATCCAGTTTTTGATTTTAAAAAATTGATCTGTGCTTTAAGACATGGATTATGTTGACACTGATACATCTGGTTTGCCCCTCAAATGGTAATTATGAAAATCAAATTTAGGTTCTGAGCTTCCAAAAGCATTTGGCTGACCAATGTTGAAAGTAAAATACCGAAGTAGATTCTCCATTGAGGCAGTTCTCTATTTAAACTCAAATTTTGACACATTGCTTGTTAAGTGAAAGATGTGAAATATGTTTATGTGACACAAAGTTGGAACATCTGTTTTCTGACATATATGCATTACATGCTATATGCAGCTACTGCTACCTATTCTCTCCCCCCCCCCCCCCCCGTAACAATGCAATACAGTTGTAAAGGAGCTGTTAGCACTTTGTGAAAGTACACCATGTTACCAATTGCTGAATTGGTAGGAACACTGCATTATATTGAAAACGTGGTCCTGTGACTACTTAACATTGGATTTGTTTAATAATGACAATCTTTTAGTGAACTCATATGTTTCCATGCAGGCCTACCAAGAAAAAACAGAAAAACACACAGAGATCCTTTGTTCTTTTGACACTCGGTTGAATTATCAGAGTAGCCATCGATTGCAGGTGTCTGGATTTCAGCTATAGAAGTGGCTATTGAACTCATAAAGCTCAATTCTTCAATCCAAAGAGCACTGGATCAGTTCCAAGAAAGATTCTTTATCCTTGCTATGATTCATCTTACACTGCTCGAGGGTCATAATTAGTCACATGTTTCTCTTAACACTGGCAGTCAAATTACCTAGAAGACACTTCTGTTTTCTGAGCAAAAGATTGAAGAATTTCAAGTGTTTTAAACTACCTCTAGCAAGTGATTTTTCATTTTGGCAACACACATTTTAAATTTCTTTTCCGATAGCATGACAAAAGAAAAATCTTTGTGGTTCAGCAGAAGACTCCTGGACTTATGAAAGAGCATTTGACATTAATGTTTGGGAAACAGAAGAAGGGAATGCATTCTTAACATAATGTTTGTTAAGGAAACAATGGCTTCTCTCTTCCGGTGTGTAGATTTCCCTCTTTCAGCCCCTTATTAGTTGTATCCAGTGTTACCCATGTTTAAGGCGATTTTTTAATGTCTTGTAAAATTAGTATTTACAACCCACTCATAACAGGAAAATCTTGCAAGTAGCAGTGAAAAGTATAAAAGATTATCTTGACTTTCTGCTCAGTACTAAATAAGTCCATCTCACTTTGTCAGCAAAGTTGTTACCTGTTGGGGGCATCAATTTAGTGGAAAGGCATGCATTCAGTTTTGAAAAACTAAATAAATGCTGAATAGTTTGTATAATAGTGGTTGTATGGCCAAATTTGAAAGCATGTTAGTACTCACTTTGATTGGCCAGACTAAGCATGATGTTTGACACATACAGTAGTTTGCTCTTGTATAGCTTAAAAACAGAGTACGCATAGAGTACTATATATATCACCCATTGGGAGTGTGGCATGGGGGAAGAAACTGTTGAGCCTTTATGGTCAACATAGGATTGATTAGACATCTCTCCCATACTTCCTGTTCAAATGGAAGGCACTTCACACGGCAGAGGATCAAAGCCAACCTTTAATGCCATGATCTTGATCTGTCTCCCTACCATCATATATTGTTCTCCAAAAATTGTATCAGCTGCACAGAGAAAAAATGACATCTGTCCTGAATAATGCCTTGGCCTTTTGTCCCTCGAATCTCTCCAAGCTTTGCAATACACAATTATCTGTTTCAAACTATGTTATTCATCTGATGCAGTTACACAATTGTATCTGTTATGTTCACTGTATTTTCTGTTAGTCAAACACAATAGCAAATGTCTAAAGAAGAATCCTTAGTGGCCGCTAGTGATGGGCAAATCAAGTTTCTGTTCCTCAAACTTGGCAAATGTTGGTAAATTCATATTAAAAATGTACTGAAGTGAAATTCTTACGCATCCCTTTGGTATGTCAACTTTTTTTTTCTTTTGTGTTAGGTGTTTTCAAATTCTGTTGAATTCTGACACAAAAAGAAATTGGAATGAAATTCTTGCCCATCCCTAGTGACTACTCTCAAATTTCTAATCACATCATCCCGAGGACTGCGACACATCCAATTCTGGAATCAGATTGGAGAGATTTTTACTATATCACATGTGTGCTGTTTGTTAGGTTTGTTTGTTTTCCATGGTAGTAAAGAAGTGCACTAGGAACATCTGAACTTTGCTCCTAAGACCCAGAATAAGGATCCTGGACAACAGGTCTTACACGAGCACACAGTTTGTATGCTTGGATGACCAGATGAATTTTATTAATTTTATTAATGCAGCCTAGTTTTGGATTCCAAGCCCATGTCATAACTGTATCATAGCTCAGTCCAGATGCTGCCTGCCCAGTTATTTCAGACTTCCAAGCAGGGGAACATTAAGCCAAACTCCTCTTTTGCTTTCTCCAAAATCTCTTAGAAAACTGAGATTCCTGCTTGTGAGGAGAGCTTACACATGAGCCAGAACCTCGGCTTGGCAGACACATCCATCTTTGAGTGGAGAAGAGAGGTTCTTTGCTGCTTGCACATTGGAGAGAACTAAAGTAATGTTTGAATGGGGCTAAAGATATTTGGGCTTATTCTGTGCATAATGCTGCGGCTGAAATCCTGTTGAGCAGTTGTGCATGTGCAATGGGGATGATATCAGCAGCTGCAAATCATGGCTGATTAAAGGAACATTGCCACTGATCAAAGGCAGTTTTGAGGTGCTCATAGCTTATACACAATGCTATGAAGTCACATGCACCCCAAAACCTCCAAGAGAGGCTCTAAATGAGGAGTGATTGGCCACTGCTGACAACATCATCACTACTGCCCATGTGGAAATGAGCTTCAGGACAGCCCATTAATGTGTATGCAGTGCACACCTGTGTTGTCATACTTTTAGGAAGTATTTTGCTTTTGCTTCTCTGAAAAACAAGATGTCATCAGTAGACATGACTGCCTTCCTTATCCCTCCCTCTCCAGATTATTTATGAACAAACTAAAAAGCATCAGGAATCCAGAGTCTTCCTTCCCATGTGAGGCTTGTACTCTTGCATATTCTCAAAAGCTTCTCAGAACCTTGGGGCACCCTTCCCAGTGGCCAAAAAGCAAGTTCTTTTCTAGAGAAAAAAAAAATCTGGAATTTTTCAGATTGTGCCCGCCAGGCAACAACTGAATAGTTGTGGAGGTTTTCTGTGGTTTCCCTGCCTCTTTTCTTTCCATCTCTTTCTTCTTTGTCCTACATCATGAGCCTAGCTGGGTTGGAGACCAGTTAGGCAAAGGTCGTCTGCCAGGTTGGCCTCTGGCCTCATGGGATTTTTCCTCACCGACTGTTTTGATTTTTGGCTTCTAGGAGAGTGCAAGGCCTCTTAAGCCACACTGCTCAAACTTGGTTGGCAGACCTTGCTTTTTCAGGTGCTTTGAAAGCTTTGCCCAGGCTTCAAGTTCCCTTGGCCTGAGAGGGAAGCAGAATCACTGGGACTACTTCATTTTGTTTTGTTTTGCAGGTTTGTAGTGCATTGCCCTAGCCTTCTTAACTGCCTGCTCTCTAACCGGTTACAGATTGGTGAGAGCATCTCCCATGGAGACCTGTATTAGCTAGCGAGCTACAATTGGTCTAGCTTTTTGAAGCTACATTTCCATGGCATACATTATTTTTGTGTGTTGCAGATATTTCAGTGGTTGCCCAATTTAGTTCCATAAAATGTACCTATTAATTTGTAATCTAAGATGCAGTCCTTGGTGATATCTGAAAGTGCTCTTAACATACTGGTGCACTTAAAAGTCATGTGTTTTTTCCCCAAGACTGAATTCTAGCCCATTGGGACAGCACAGGAGAAGAATGTCTAAACAGCTGCTTTGCATTACGAAATGCTCATTGGTTTGGCCTCCCCAGTTCTTCACCCATCTGCATTTTCATTTGCTGGCTTCACCAAGTTTTCTAATTGTTCTTACGTGCGTTTTGTTTCTGTCTTGATCCTCAGATGAGTATAGGATCAAACCTGTGGAAGAAGTCAAATACATGAAAAATGGAGGAGAAGAGGATCAGAAAATAGCTGCCAGAAACCAGGAAAACTTGGTAAGGGTTGAACATTATTATTTAACAACTTGGACACTGCTGCTCTGTATCTGTAATGAAATATAAAGTATGTAGAACACTTAGTGCACTGGAGAAGAGCTGTCTTGAAAATGCTGCAGCTATTTATAGCTCACAGGGAAAGTGCAAAACTCTATCTTCCCTGGTTGTCTTTATGAATTATCCCACCCTTACTAGTGTGAAGTGTGCTCCGATAGAATGGGCATTTGTATTCAGCCCCTTTGCAAGTTGTAATACAGCTTGGCTCCTGATGAATGTGTTTGTGCTCAAAGGAGCTGTTAGCAACGCAGGAATTTACTGCCTTTCAGGAAGAAACTACATACTTCCAAGTACATGTCTATCATTATTTACTCTCCGCATTCTCACCCCGAATTTTGAAGAGCACCGTATAGTTAGATATTTGAAGATATATAATGTGTTCACAGTAGAAAATATTGAAAGAATCAGTGTATTAGTAATTGGTTGCAGATAAGAGTTAATTTCTTAGTTTGGGCTTTATGGCTTGTGTTATTCTCTTTTTAATCCCCAGTTACATATTGTTGGGCTTCCATGTATCCTGAAATTCTGTGGCACAGTAGAAACAATGCAGAGTTAATGTATTCTTGAAGGCTTTCACAGCCGGGATCCGATGGTTATTGTGGGTTTTTCGGGTTCTTTGGACGTGTTCTGAAGGTTGTTCTTCCTGATGTTTCGCCAGTCTCTGTGGCCGGCATCTTCAGGACTGGAGTAGGAACTCTGTCCATGCTCTGTTGCATTAGGAAGCAGAGTTACGCTTCCTAATTTTTTTAGCTGCAAATAGGTACATGGCCAATGCTTTCTGCTATTTCAGGAGCCAGAGAGGTAATTATTTGGGGAATGGAACATCAAGTGCCCCTCTCCTTAGTACTACAAAAAGTAGAATAATTACACAAAGCTGGAACACTTAATGTAGTGTAACTTACATAAACAGCCAGTCTTTCATGGTGCACAGTTTGAATGGCAAGATAATCAGTTTTGCATTCAGTTTCCAAAACAAATGCAAAAAAGCAAATTATGGAGCTTTTTTTTTTTGAGGTTTTGCCCATTTCTTTTTTTTTATTTTTTATTTTATTTTCACAGAAGAAGAGAAGGGAAAAAAATAAGGGAAAAAGAAAAAAACTAACTCCTCAAATTAAACTATCCCCTCCCCCCTTTGGAGTCAGAGATTCCAGCCTCGTTAACCCCTCTGCTCCCCCAATTTCATTTCCAGTATGTGCTTAGTAGATATACATGCATCATAAACTTTGCCCTACACTCCTGTCTTCTTCTGGGCCCAAGAATATATTAGTTCCCAGCTTTGTTTTACATAGTCTCTTAGTTGTTCCCGTAGTGCTTCTGATAGAGTGTCCAGTTCTGCTGTATCCCATAGCTTCTTTAAAAAGTCTTCCATCGTTGGGGTCTCTTCGATTTTCCATTTTTGGGCCCAGAGTAGTCTGGCTGCTGTGAGTATATACATTAGACCAGTGGTCCCCAACCTTGGGCCTCCAGATGTTCTTGGACTTCAACTCCCAGAAATCCTGGCCAGCAGAGTTGGTGGTGAAGGCTTCTGGGAGTTGTAGTCCAAGAACATCTGGAGGCCCAAGGTTGGGGACCACTGTATTAGACAATGCTTCAATTTATTATCATGAGTTCCTGATATGACATTCAGTAATGCCATTTCAGGTTTTATATCTATTTTCTGCTGGGTAATTTCTTTTGCTAAGTCCCATACCTGTGTCCAATAATTTTTGACCTTTTCGCATGTCCAGCACATATGATAATAAGTTCCTGCATTTTTTTACACTTTCAAAGCAAAGTATGCAGCTTTTATACCACCCTTTTTTTCAAAGAGATCAAACTATCAGACTAGGGATTGCCCTCTGTTTTTAATTTTATTTGCTGATCCATTTACCAAATGAAGAGCCATGTGGCACAGTGGTTAAACTGCTGTACTGTAGCCAAAACTGTGCTCACAACTTGGGGTTCAATCCCAGGTAACAGGCTGATGCTTGACTTACCCTTCTATCCTTCCAAGCTCAGTAAAATGAGTACCCAGGTTCCTGGGTGGGGGGCGGGGGGACAATGTATAGTCTGCATAATTAACTTGTAAACCGCCCAGAGGGTGCTTTAAGTGTTATGAAGCAATATATAAGCAACATGCCTTGCTTTTTTTGCCTTCAGTTTTTGCCAATGTTTAGTTTATACATACCAGTCAAAATCCTGCAAGCACTCTGTGCTGACCAACTTTAACTCCACATGAATTTGACCAAATTAGATGATATTTCTTAATCAGTGTAACTTACCAGTTCAAGCAGTTGGTTACCAAAAGACAAAAACAATCATAAATTGTAAAAATGCTGGTGATAGTGCCACCCATGTTTCAAGGAACCTTGGCAACTATTATTGATCTTTACATTAAGTAACCCATAATAAATGGCTGTAAACCCCACCTTAAAAAAGGAAATATTTTAGTTCAACTTTTCAGGTTTATCTTGACTAGCAAAAAGAGGTGGGAATGGTCTAATTTGCTCTCCAGGAATTGAGGCCCATTTGTGATTTCTATGAGAAGCATGTGTGGTGTTCTTTTATAGTTATATCATCTGTGATGGTGACCCATTAAAAATAAGTTGATACCATATTCTCTGTAATTACTGCTTTTATTGTTGGGATATGGTTGTTTATTAAGCTTACTGGTTTTATTTGTTAAGCAACACGATTGTTGACCCTTGTCTATCATCAGATTTTGTACTGTTTTGCAGATTTTAGTGCAGGAGTGGGCAATGTACAGTGCTCCAGATATTGCTAAACTGCTACTCCCATTATTTCGCATCCTTGCCCATACCGATTAGGATTGATGGAGTTGCAGTCCAGCACTATATGGAAAGTCATGTGGTCTCCAGATCTGCTATGGCAAGAGTCTTTCTGCTGTTTATCTTTTTCTATAAGAAATAAAATACAATTAAGTTCATTGCTATTGTGCAAAAATTGTATAAAGAAATAAAGCAAAAGCAAAGTAACAAAGAAAAAGAACAATGCAGTAGTAATGACAACTACCAGAAAGGAGAGGGTGAGGATTTTTTTAAAAACAGCATAAGCTTCAGTGAAGGTGACCACATGTCCAGTTGAGTATCCATACTCAGTTGCCACCAATATGTCACACGATCAGGTATCAAAAGAGCAATGTGGTCCTCTACTGATTGAGTAGTAGAAGGTGGCTTTCTGTCTTTCCAGAATTATAGCATGAGTTGTTCAGCCACTATAAGAGCACGGAGAACTTCATTTCCTTTGATTGTTGGCTACCTTCTATCAAACGGACAAAAAATTTAACAAAATGTGCTAAATCTACCAGATGTAGAAATTGTTCCATTACAATGTTAATGTGTATAACTGCCCCTCAGAATAATCTAGGCCTGGATGTAACAGGGTATATGTTTGAGACAGGGATGGGGGCTCATGTCTTACAACTCATGGTCAAGTTAGACTTAAGTCACGCTGGCAACTTGACTCATACTTGACTCATGATTTTTTTCTTCTTCTTCAATAACTTGGACTTGACTTGCTAATCAGAACTCATCCACCCCTCCCTTTTTTCCAGGGGGGGAAAAGCTTGTTTTTAATAGGGACTTAAACTTGGGGCTTGGGACCAATGACTCTGACTCAGACATGGGACTTGGTACCAAAGACTTGAACTTGGAACTGTGACCCCCCAGAGACTTGCCGACTTCCCTAGTTTTGAGATGTGCCAAGTATATTACATTGCCAGTACTTAGCAAATTTAGCCAAGCCTTCCCCAAAAAGCTATTGTTGTGTCTAGTAGACATCTTTTTGGTGAATAAGCTGCAGTTTAGGTCCACAGATAGTTAGAAAGGGCATATTATGCAGCACGTCTGGTATTTCTGTCATTTTAAGAAGGGCAGCAAAAAGTGATTTTATTTCAGCAGGCTTGGGAGATTTGCTGCTGCTGCTTGTGTGTTGTTGCCGTGGGCTTGTAGTTGCTGCTGCTATTACCTTATTCAGCATTATTGTCAAATAGCTCACAAATACATTATATTCACAGTGACAGTTATGATTGATTGATTGATTGATTGCCTGCCCCAGGCTAAACTATCAGTCAAAGAAAATGGATGCCCTTCCTTGATAAGAAAAGCAGGACTATTTCTGATACCACTCAGACTTAAGAAGTACAGGGAAGCTGGCAAGAGGTTTCCTGGATGTTGTGTGGAGCATTAGAAGCATTATGAATATCATCAGATTTCTTGTTTCTCCCTGCTATATAGAAGCATTACCATTACTCTCATTCTTCTAATCTCCGGAGCAGATAAGGAGTATATTCTGTCCC